TGCCCAAGCCAGCCACCTCCTGTTTACAGGCTGTGGCCCTTTGGCCAGAGCCCCAGCTCTGCCCTCTAGGGAGAGCTGGCTGAAAACGAGTGAGACATGACCAGGGGTATGGCGGCCTATCAAAGTATGGATCCTGGGCCTGCATCTTAAAAACTGTGATCTTAGGCAAGCAGTTGCATCTCTCCATGCCTCTGGGGAGTGTGAATAACCAAACCAGGTATGTAGAGTGGTTGTGAGGACTACAGAAAATGAGATGCCAGAGATACAACATACAGAGCTTCTCAGTGGCGCCTGGCATGGACTGAGCACTCCCTAAACCTTGACTATCAATATTCATTAAAGTCCCTGGCACGGCACCTGGCACCCTTTTCTTCTGCATGAAGCTTTACTGCTTCCAAGTGACATTTGCATTCCGGAGCTCACTTTTCCTCTCAGTAAGCATTTGAGAGGGTTTGGCGCTGTGTCCTTATTCCTGATGTTCAGAGGACAGCTTTCTTTGCAGCCCCTCCTCAGAAGGAGAAATCAAAGATATGTGTTCCTCCTGCTGAAAACCTCTGCTGGCAGCCTGCAGCCTTCATAGTCAAGCTCCCTCTCTGCTGCCAGGGTCCAAGACTCTCCTGACATCCAGGGACTCCCTCAGCTGTCACGTGCCCTCCCCACATGGCACCCAACTTGCCTTCCTGCCCGGTGGCTGAACATCTCTTCAACCTCGACTGCCCTTTCCACGCCCCCTGCCTGGCTCATTCCTAATCACCCTTCGAGGTCCTGCTTAGGTGTCACCTCTGCTAGGAAGCTTTCCCAGACCTCCTGAGACAGCACAAAACTGAACTACCATGGTGTATCAGTCTGTTCTCACACTGCTAATAAAGACATACTGAGATTGGGTGATTTACACAGAAAAAGAGGCTTAATGGACTCACAGTTCCACATGGCTGCAGGAGGCTCACAATCATGGTGGAGGGCAAAGGAGGAGCAAAGGTATGTCTTACAGGGCACCAGGCAAAACGGCTTGTGTAGGGGAACTGCCCTTGATAAAACCATCAGCTCTCATTGGACATATTCACTACCATGAGAACAGTATGTGGGAAACCACGTCCATGATTCAATTATCCCCACCTGGCCCGGCCCTTGACACGTGGAGATTATTACAATTCAAGGTGAGATTTGGGTGGGGACACAGCCAAACCACATCACATGGCAAGGGCCCGGACTTCAGAGTTGGCAATCCTGGCTCTGTCGCCTACCAGTCACACACCCTCAATAAGCTGCCTTGCCTCTCTAAGTGAGAGGTTTTAGGTCCTCTAAAAATAATACCTACCTCATAGTGTTATTGTGTGGATGAAAAGTAAAGCCCTTACTTACCATAGTGCCGGTTCATTGTAAGTGCTTGTCAGACACTAGCTGTGTGCACCTAGGTACCTGGCTTTTAGTCCTTGCCCAGCTATTGACATGCTGAGCGGACGCGGACAAGTCTGTCTTAGACTTGGTTTCCCTATTCTGTTAATGAAGCATCTTAAGCCTCAGAGGCCTGTGGATGGTTTGATGGGGAGTAAATTAATATGCTGCCCACAGTGGTGGGGCCTCTGCTTGTTTTTTCAGAGAAGCTCCAGGCTGCCCACTAAAGAAGCCCAACTGCCACACCAACAGACCCTGCGGGGAGCTGGACGCTTTCCAGCCGCCTGAACCGCCATGGCTGACTTGGTATGAGCAAACATAGGCTCAGGCTCTGATCTTGCCTGGCTTCCTGTGGCCAGTGCTCAGGACATATTGTCATTTGGGTGCTGAGATGAACCTCTGGACCTTTCTTGTTCTTCAAGGACAGATTCAACCCCCTCTTTCCCTTGAGACTGGCATCCTGTTAGAGAAGGCATGGCCCAAGGCAGGAGGCCAGGAACACACTCCTTCTGAGGCATCCTGGACTCGTCATCTTTCTCATTCCCCCACCTTACTGTCCCCCGTCCCCCACCCATAGGAGGGCTGAAGACCCATGAGTTCTACCAGTAAATAGCCCTTGACCACCCCTTTTCTCTGCCCACTTGGTCCCAGCCCTTGGCATCCCTTTTATTGGGCTGTTGTAGTGAAAGGTCATGCTAGGTGAGATACCGTGGCTCATGCCTATAATTCCAAAGCTTTAGGAAGCCAAGGCAGGAGCATCTCTTGAGGCCAAGAGTTCAAGACCAGCCTGGGCAACACAGTGAGACCCTCATCTCTAAAAAAAAAAAAAAAAAAAAAAAAAAAAAAGCTCAGCGTGGTGGGGCACGCCTGTAATCCCAACTCCTTGGGAAGCTGAGGGAGGAGGATCATTTGATCCCAGGAGTTTGAGGTTGCAGTGAGCTATGATCATGCCAGTGCACTCAGCCTGGGTGACAGAATAAGACTCTGTCTCTAAAAATATATATATGTAGATACAGATTGTGGTAGATCCAGTTTCCAGGCTAAATTGCCCTTGATGATAGCCCACTGCCATGCTAAGCTCTCCATAATCCATCCCCTGCTCATCCCTCTTACCTCTTCTCCTCGCTCCTCACCCACCCTCTACTGTGGCCTCTCTGGCCTGTTGGACATTTGCTGGCTGAGCTGTACAGTTCACTTCCATGACTTTGTTCACATGCCCCCTCATCCTGGAATGTCCATTTTGTCCCCTCCTACCTTTGGAAATTCTTCTAGCCTCCATAGCTGGCCCAAAGTCCTCCTCCTCTGGGAAGGAAGGCTCCTCTGGTTCAGGGTCAGAATTAAGAATGCTGAGGGCTCTCTCAACTCCTGCTTGCACTGCAGTTGGAGAGAAAATCAGCGGAACGTGCCAGAGCTGAGAGCTAACAGTCCCTTGGGCAAGATTCCTGAGGAACACTGTTCCAGGAGCTCTTCAGTTGGTCTGGGTCAGAAATGTGATTGTCCTTGCTCTGGGAGACCCTCTTCGGAGCCCTTGGCCCAGCATTTCCTGCAGTCGCAGCCCTCCCTCCATGGTGTGAGGTGCTTCCTCCAGGTGACCCTGAGCTCCTCGTGTACTAGGATCCAGGTCTCTTCTCTGGGGACTTAGCATCTGGCTCACAGTTTGGTCCAAAGCAGGTTTGCAGAGGCTGATGAGCGAACGATTATATGAGGCAATAAATAAATCAGAGCTCACCAGTCCCTTCAATGCCCATTTTCAGTTTTCTTTTTTTCTTTAAAAAAAAAATTTTTTTTTGCTTTAAGTATTACTTTTTTTTTACTTACTAAAAAAATTTTTTTACTCTAAGTACCGGGATACACATGCAGGTTTCTTACATAGGTATACACATGCCACGGTGGTTTGCTGCATCCATCAACCTGTCATCTAGGTTTTAAGCCCCTATTTGTCCTGATGCTCTCCCTCCCCATATCCCCCACCACCGACAGGCCCCAGTGTGTGATGTTCCCCTCCCTGTGTCCATGTGTTCTCACTGTTCAGCTCGCACTGATGAGTGAGAACGTGCAGTGTTTGGTTTTCTGTTCCTGTGCTAGTTTGCTGAGGATGATGGCTTCTAGCTTCGTCCACGTCTCTGCAAAGGACGTGATCTCATTCCTTCCTATGGCTGCCATTTTCAGTTTTCAAAACTCAGAAAACTGATATGTAAAACCAATTTTATTAATTTTCAGTGGGGACATGTCTGTCTCCCTCGACAAGAGCCCTCCCATCAGGCAGATCCCAAGTCTCTCTTTCAGAATATGGGTTGCACACTTTCTGACCCTCAATCTCATGTTTTCTTTTTATTAAAAAGAAATTTTTCGAGACAGGGTCTTTGTTGCCCAGGCTGGACTGCAGTGGCATGATCATGCCTCACTGCAGCCTCAACCTCCCAGGTGCAAACGATCCTCCCACCTTAGCCTTCTGAGTAGCTAGGACTACAAGCATGCACCACCATGCCCAGCTATTGTTTTTCCCTATTTTTTGTAGAGACAGGTTCTCCCTATGTTGCCCAGGCTGGTCTCAAACTCCTGGGCTCAAGTGGGACACTTCCACCTCAGTGTCCCAAAGTGCTGGGATTGTAGGAGTGAGCCACTGCACCTGACAAGCTCACTTTTAAAATACCCCACAGAGACTCTGCCTTGGCCAAGGTATAATTACACTGGTAGCTGGAAAGGCTTCTGGGCTCGGGTACCATAGACTGTATTTGGGTCCCAGTTCCAGCACTGACTTTGCTGTATGATTCTGGACAAGTCATTGCCCTCTCTGGGCCTCAGTTTTCTCACCCATCTAATGGAAATAATCATCCTTGCCTGCCTGGGCGGTGTGAAGCTGGAAAGATAAGCAGAGAAGCAGCTCATTCAGGCTCTAGGACCAAAATATAGTCCCTACTTCCAGAAAACTGGGCTGTTTAGGCGGGCAGCTGGGCATAGAGTGGAGGGTGGGGAGTGGTGGTGTGGAGAGCAGGGTGGACAGACAGAAGACTGGTGAGGAGCCCTTCAAGCTGCTCTTTCTCCAGATCTTCTATTCTACAGCTCGGAGTTTCCTGTGGTGGCTTCCCACCGGTAGGATGCCAGATATCCTGTTTCGTGTGCTGTGTCACGTGGTTAAACCAGTAGAGCCTGCGGGGTTAACTGAACTGGGGGAGATGCTAAGGTTGCATCCAAGCCCAGTATCTCTGCCTTAGGTACCAAAGGGGTAGGAAGTGGCATATGTTTCACATATGTGCCATCCGTGAAGGCTAAACTCAGCTTGTCATTTAGTTCCCAGACATATCATCACTCCAAGGGGTGATGAGATTAGGATCCACAAGTCTGTCTTGGAGCAGTTAGCAGATTTCCTATGAGACACCCCAGAGACAGGCATGAAATCATGGAAGTAGATTCCTTTTCTCTTTGTTGATGTTTTTGTTTTGTTTTATTTTTTTGAGACAAGGTCTCACTCTGTCACTCAGGCTGGATAGAGTGCAGTGGTATGGTCACAGCTCACTGCAGCCTTGACCTCCTGGGTTCACACAGTCCTCCCACCTCAGCCTCCCTAGTAGCTGGGACTATAGGTGTGGGCCACCATGCCTGGCTAATTTTTGTATTTTTGGTAGAGACAGGGTTTCATCACCTCTTCTGTGTTAGAAGCCACCTAACATGGTAATGAGCTCCTGGTCATTGGAGGCATTCAAGCAGAGACTGAACAACTTGAAAGCAGGAGAGAAAATTCCTCTTCAGAAATGATGTGTAGATCCCATTTCAAAGGCTCCTTCCTGCCCTTGTGAGCTAGGATTCAATTTTCATGTGCAGGGTTATCAGTGCCATTCTAGCCAGCCTTCCATGCTGGCCTGAGTAGCCCACTCAGGGTCCGGGACAGGCATACTCTTCGGACCAGTCGGAGCAGTGCTATATGTGGTCGCGGCAGAGACGCCTCGGAATACAGTCGCAGTACTTGAAGAAGGTTGAAGGACAATGCCACCACCCAGGGCCACAGGGTGGGCACACAGTCACTGGGGAGACAAGAGCCAGCAGGAGAGCAGTTGCTGTGTCCTGGAATGCTCTGTGCAGCAGGGCACTCCCTAGTTCTGAAACCTGCTCCCCACGGCCCCAACCTATCTAATATGGGTTGAGTGTGTTCCTAGTTTTCCTGCAGCAGAGAGAATCTAGACTCCACAGCTCACAGACTCCACAGCTCACAGGCTATGTGACCTTGCTCACCCTGTCTGAACCTGTTTCCTAGTGTGCTCAAGCTTGTTATTAAGCAAAGGATGTCAGGCAAAGTCCCAGGCACATGGTAAAGGCTGCAATATGAATGGATGCCCTTCCTTACCCTAAGTCCAGCCACATTTACCTGCCATGACTCCCCGAGAGTGCTCCTAGCCTTCTCTCCTCTGCTCAGGCCTCTGGCATTCCTCCCCACACACCCAGCCTCTGCCTACTGAAACCTGTCTATTCTTGGTCTTCCTGAATGCTACCTCTTCTGAGAAGTCTCCCTTGATTCCTCCAGGTCCCCAGCATCTCCTTTTGGCATCAGCATGATGTAAGTCCTGGGGGTACGACACATGCTTGATTCCTGATGTCCCCCACCTGAATCTGATACCAGGTGTGTTCTGAGCACCCCACCAGTGCTCAGAAAATGTTTGTTGATTGACCACTGGGGAAGAGATTGAGAGGAAACTCTAGGGCAGCTATAGGCCTTGGGACTTGGATCAGGAGGCCTGGGTTCACACCTGAGCTCCCTTCCTGTCATGCACTGTACTAATTTTCTCTGCTCAAAGCCTCAGTTTACTTACAAACAAATTGGGGCTGGTGATTCCTGCCCTGCTTTCCTCACAGGGTTATTGGGAGGTGCAGAGATGAGGGAATCCCAGGTTCAAATCCCAGCAGGGTCACGTATGTACTCCTTGCATGACCACCTTCTGGGACCCAGTTTTCTCATCTGCGCCCTTGAAGGCGACTTCCCCACTGCAGAAGAATGAGCCTCCAGAAGAAGTCACTTGGAGTGGTAGTGAGTACCCCACCACAGGATGTATTCAAGCAGGGGTAGAAAACTCCTTCCTAGGATGCAGAGAAGGCATGCAAAGGGGAGCCCTAGAGATTCCCTGGTCACCCTTTGCCCTCTGGCTGCTGCCCAGCCACTGGCTTCAGCCCAGCCTGTGCCCAGACCCCTACCTGGGCTCAGTTCATCGGAGCAGTCCCCACAGTTGTTAGTGCCATCACATTTTTGGTCTGAGTAGATCCAGGAGGCCGGGTCTCCACAGTGGGCCACGAGGAAGCGGGGGAGGCTCTGGGGCACATCTCCTGGGACAGAGGAGGCAGGAAGAAGTTCACATCTGGTCACAGCTGTCTGAGGGTTATCTGGAGAAGGATTGGCCGCCCTGGCAGTTGCCAAACTCAGGATCAGTGACCATCCAGCCCATAAGGGTGCAAGCAGAAGGTTTCCTGGGGAGGCGGCGGAGTCAGAGGGAGAGGAGAGCTCCGTCGCTGGACAGAGGCCCAGAGAGCTGCCCCTCCCTTCCTCAGTTCCTCCCCAGTCGTGGTGTGTTCCTGCCCCACGCCACTGCTGATCCTATGCCCCTCCACAAAGAGCCTCCTTAATACCTATCCAAAACCATTCCACTTTCAAGTTCAGGTTCAAGTTCCATCACCTCCAGGAAGCCTCCTCCAACTGGAACAGCACAGGAATAAATGTGGAAGTCTTACAGTTGGGCCCCGGAGCTCAGGGGATGTAGGGTTCACACACCTTGTAAGGCAGAGTCAGAGGACCTTTCTTGAAAGTGTGTTCTGTTAGGCAGCAGTGTGATAGGGCTACCAAAAATTCACACAAACTCAGGCCGCACCACTAGAGGTAGAAAACCTCGGGCAGGGAGGGAGCAAGCTTCTGTTCCTTAGACTGCCCAGACCCAGCCAGAAGCGCCAAGGATGTTTCTGAGGCCTGTCCAGGGAGGGGGACATGGGCAGTTGGTATTTATTCTGTGGAGCATTGATGGAATGGGGAGGGCCAGGAACTCGGTCACAAGGGGGCTGACTGTGACCTAGAGAAGGGGATGCGGCCTAGACAAGAGAACCCGCAATGGGGGGCAAGGAAGTAATCTTCAAATCCATGCAGCGCCACCATGATGGCAGGGATTAAAGCATGGTCTATTGGGGCAGGGTTGACAGAAGGACAGAGTTGGAACCAATCAGGGAAGAACCACTCTGGGAGGCAGCTCTAAGTTTGGGACAAGGAAAACCTTCCCATGGAAAAACCTTCCAACCCTTGCATCTCAGGGGGTACAAACGGAGGCCGGGTGGCCTCGGTTGGGCTTGCTAAAGAGGGGCCTGGGGATGAGCTGGGGCAAGGACTAGATGTTTTTGAAATTGCTTCTCGTCTTGAGGGTCTTTGATGCAATGACTCGCCCTCCATGAGCTCCCCTACCCCACCCACTGCACCTCTCCAGGCTGTCTCTCTCCTGTGGGGTCAGGCTTCTCTCTCCTGAGAACATTCTGGTGTCTGAGGTCCGGGGCCAGGTCTTCCCATTCATTCATTTGCTCATTCATTCAGCAAGCCATTCTGAATACCCCTCTGTGCTAGGCGCTGGGGCCCCCATATCAAGCGGACTGGGCCTGCCTCAGAGGAGTTCACAGTCTGATGGGGGCAGCAGATGTGCCAATCGAGTGACAACCAGTGTGACGAGGGCTGCGACACAGGGAACCACAGGGACTGTGGAAGCCCAAGGAGACAATTTAACCTCGTGTGGGAGTCAGGGAAAGCTTCCTGGAGGAGGTAACACTTGAACTCTGCCTTGAGGGATGAATACGGGTTCTCTGGGAGTGGAGATGCACAGGGTGAAGGCATTCCTTAGTGGGGGCATGTATGTCCCTGACTGGGACCAGGTCGGGGCAGGCGTTCCTGGCTGAAGGCACTGGAGCATCAAAACCATGGGGACGTGAAGGTGCCTGGTGTGTTCAGGGATGACTGAGCTTCAGTATGGCTGCAGAGAGAATTAGGCTGTGGGGGAACCCCTGGGAGGGGCAGCACCGAGCGGGTACTCACGGCACAAGCTCTCATCCTCATCCTCGCCGTGGGTACAGGTGCGAACGCCATCACAGACCCCACTGGCTGGAATGCAGCTCCTCTGGTCATGGCACAAGAAGCCTGTCCTATTTGTCAGTGTTATACAAGCTTGGGCTCCTGAATGGGTAGGGGAAGGCCCTGGAGGGTCAGGGGTGGTGCTCACAAGGACAAACTTTCCTCACCTGAACTCCACCTAGAGCTGGCCTGAGGGGCTAGAGCAGTGGGGGGGATGAACCCAGCGCCATCAATGGGGTTCAAGCCCCAGCTCTACCCACTGCCGGCTGCCTGATCTTGGGCAGATGACCTGACCACCTTGAGTCTCAGGTTGTCTGCAACATGGGGATCATAGCACACACCCCGTGGGACTGTTGCGGGGATTAAATAAAAGCATCTCTGTGAAGAAACATAGAACAGAAAATGTGCAGGACAAGTAATGGTTCTCTCCTGTATTGAAAACTTATTTACAGTGTCACGGGAAGCTTCTGAGGACAGTGTTCAATTCAGTGAAGTGGTTGTAATGGTGAAGCTCCTGGTATGAGGTTAGAGTGTCAGAAGCAATATACTTGGGCTGGCTGGAGGGCCATATGTCATAATTCCTTCTATCTGGGCACAACTGCAAAGCACTTTCATATCTTTATTCTATAGTTTCCCAAACACCCCTGAGACACGTCATCATTGGCCCCCCATATGGGAGGAGAAAAGGAATACCCACTCCTAGGGCTGCCGCAAAGAATTAAAAGACGGAAACCTGCGGACAAGGTAGGGGGAACCCCTTGGCCCCACGTGTGTATACGTGTGCATAATTGGGGATGGGAGCCGGTTTGCGCATTTGTGTTTGTGCATGCGTGAACCACCTCTCAGTCCCTGGGCAGCCTCAGCTAGTGTGGGTGGGGGGACGGGGGAGCAACTCTCAGAGACACTCATGTTGACACAGACACACACACAGATGCACACACACATGAACACATGCTCACACACAGCTGCACCTACATGCACACTCACAGATACACAGACAACAGATGTGCACACATGCACTGACACACACATGCTCTCACACAGACATGAACATGCATACACAGACAGCTGCATATACTCATAGACACACAAAACACACAGGTGCGTGCACAGACTCATGACTGCAGCTGCTCATGTATTCGCATCCACCTCAGGGCCTGTGTTCCTGCACAGGCAGCGGGAGAGCTGCGAATCTCAGCCCCTGCCTCAGCCCTCTACACCCACCCTGCCCGGCTGCAGAGCCATCCTGCAGAAACATCCACCTGGTGACACTTGCCCCCAACTTAATCTCCTGTCTGTGGCTCCTGGACTATGACCTCCCTTCTCGGTGCAGCCTGTGAGGCCCTTGGCCCCACTTGTCACTCTAGCCCTTCCTGCACACTGGCCTCTTGCAGTCTCTTCTTCTCTTCCTGCTTCCTCCCACCCCTCAGGGCTCCACACATGCTGTTCCCTGTTCCTGGGATGCTTTTCCTGGCATCCCCCCACTACTAATACCCATTGTGCCTACCCTGACTCCTCAACGGGGCTAGACTCTCAGGGATCCCAGGGACCCTGCTGTAATATGTATTCATGTCGAGACTGCTCTCAGAACAATTATTAGCTCCATGAGGGCAGGCACTGTCTTGGGGTTGTTCACCCCTGAAGCTGGGGCTGCAGGCATGTATGGGATGTGACCCTGTCCCCCATGGTGGAGATGGACACACAGATGTATAGCACTACCCCAGGGTGCCCAGGCCAGGGGAAGAGGAAGTATAGGGACTGTGGGGCTGAGAAGAGGCTTGTAACCCAGCCTGGGGGTCTAGGAAGACATCCTGGAGGAGGTGACTTCAGAGCTGGATCCTCTCGGTAACCATGTCACAGATGTGCAAATGGAGGCTCAGAGACTGGTACAGTGTGTGTGCAGGTGTCTGTGCGTGCACCTTAAGGAATTTGTCCAAAGTCATCTGGTAGAGAAGCCAGGCAGGTCAGGGCTCCCTCATCTCTCTGTGCCCCCCCATGCCCTTCCCACCGGGTCTGACCCACCCTTTCTTGGCTGCCCTGACTGGGGGTGCGTGATGGGAGTCCAAGGATGGTGACCAAGGTGATGAGGGCAGCCAGAGTTGCCAGGAGGAACAGCAGAGAGGCAGAGAGGCAGGCCCTGCGACGCGAGCAGCAGAGGGGGCCGCAGCCTGCTGTGTGGGGGGAAACAAGCCCGGGGGTGGTGGTGATGAGGGCCAGCACTGGGAACAGGGTGCTCCCTTCCCGCCATGCCCGCTGCAAGCAGCCTGTCCCCAACCAGGGTGAGCAGAGCAGGGATGGCTTCCCTGGAGGAGCAGCTCCCAAGCCCTCCGTGATGCTCTTTGATGCTCTTTGTTCTGCCTGTGGGCCCACTCCACTAGATGCCACCCTGGCCGGGGCCCACAGATGACTGAATGGCAGAGGCGGACAGCCTCCTCTCCCACCCGCCATCAGGTGACCTCCTCAGGACACTGGGAGAGATGGACGCCTGTGTGTCCAGCCCCCAACTTGGGGCAGAAGCTCCATTAGGCCCTTCATAACCATGGTATTTATTTTTCTTTTTTCTTTTTTTTTTTTTTTTGAGACGGAGTCTTGCTCTGTCGCCCGGGCTGGAGTGCAGTGGCGCGATCTCGGCTCACTGCAAGCTCCGCCTCCCGGGCTTACGCCATTCTCCTGCCTCAGCCTCCCGAGTAGCTGGGACCACAGGCGCCCGCCACCTCGCCCGGCTAGTTTTTTGTATTTTTTAGTAGAGACAGGGTTTCACCGTGTTCGCCAGGATGGTCTCGATCTCCTGACCTCGTGATCCGCCCGTCTCGGCCTCCCAAAGTGCTGGGATTACAGGCTTGAGCCACCGCGCCCGGCCGGTCTTTATTTTTCAAAACAAACTTTTATTTTATCAATGAGGAAACTAGGGCTCAAGAAGAAAAGATTCAGGTCACCCCGGGTAGAGCTGGCGTGTGAATCTACACCTGTTTGATGCCAAAACCCATGCCCTTTTCACTGTCCCAATTGACTGTTCATTCTGGAGTCTGCTGGGATGCAGGTTGGAATCCCAGCTCTACCACATCCTATCTGGGCCACACTGAGTAAGCCACTTCACTTCCCTGTGCCTCAGATTCCTCATGTGGAAAATGGGGACCACAGTAGCTACCTCCGAGTTTGTTGAGAGGATTAGAATTTGTTGAGTTAATGTGTTAGAACAGTGCTCAGCACATAGTAAGTGGTGAGTATGAGCTATTATTATTGCTTTTTAAAAAATTATTATTTTTTATATTTTAGGGATAGGGTCTGGCTCTGTTGCCCACGCTGCAGTGCAGTGGTGTGATCGTAGTTCACTGCACCCTGTAAGTCCTAGGCTCAAGCAGTCCTCCTGCCTCAGCCTCCCAAAGTGCTGGGACAACAGGCGTGTACCACCGTGTCTGGTCTGTTATTGCTTGTTGAGGACTTACCATGTGCCGCGCCTTATTCTAAGTGCTATGGAGATAGCAGTGACAGGGGACCTCCCTACTCTTGTAGAACTGCACTTTAATTCTCCTTTAATTCTCTCCTGCTTACAAAATAATAAAAGAAGGCTTTACTGAGGACCTCCTGGGTACCCTGCTGTGCAGCTTGCCCTGGTCCTTGTCCTCTGCAGCTTGTTATTGCACTTAGAAGGCAAGGCATGGACATGTCTGAAGGAGCATGGGAGCTACTGACCTGCCACAGGTACCTCAGAGAAAGGGGCAGGAGCAGGTGTGATTCATCCCTGTGACCCCAGAACCCAGCCTAGAGCCAGGCATGTGGTGGGGGCTTTTGTTTTTTGCGTTTTTTTGAGATGGAGTCTCGCTCTATTGCCCAGGCTGAAGTGCAGTTGCATGATATCGACTCACTGCAACCTCTGCCTCCTGGGTTCAAGCGATTCTCCTGCCTCAGCCTCCCGAGTAACTGGGATGACAGGTGCCCACCACCATGCCTAGCTAATTTTTGTATTTTTAGTAGAGACGGGGTTTCACCATGTTGTCCAGGCTGGTCTTGAACTCCTGACCTCAGGTGATCCGCCTGCCTTGGCCTCCCAAAGTGCTGGGATTATAGGTGTGAACCACCGTGCCGGGCCTGGGGCTTTGTGAACACTGTGAATACGCTGACCCAGGGGCCCGGGAGACAAGGGAAGGCCCCCAGTATGGGTCAGTCCAGGTTATTTCCAATCCATTCACATTCCCAATGCAGTGTCCTCAGAAGCAGAGTGGGATTTCCACAGGCAGAAGAGGAGGGTGCAAAGAGAGGGCATTCCAGGCAGAGGGCGTGGCAGGAATAAAGGCCTGGTGGTTGCAGGTGGCCTGGGGCGGTGGGACTCCAGGATGGAAGTGCATTGGGAGGGGAGACAATAGCAGGAGAGGCAGCATAAATCTAAAACCTGTCATCTCTACAGCCCTAGCTGGTGGCTCTTTGGCCATCAGCAACCTGGGTAAACTCAGGTAACCAGGGAGGCAGCGTGACTCCGGGCAGGGAGAGGTGTCCTGATCAGCCAAGCAGCTCCTCAAATATTTGTGCAGCACAGACCATGCGCAAGGTGGGGCAACGGGAGAACCCGCGGAACCAAGGCCCCTGCCCAGGTGAAGCTGTTGCACTTCAAAGCCAGAAAGCCCTTAGGTGCCAGTCCCCTTCCTGGACCGATGAGGAGAAGGAGGCGATTCTTTCCACAACCGCGCCCATCATGAGTCAGGACTTGGAAATAAACAGACACCAGCTTGGAGCAACAGAAGCCCTGGGGCTTTGTAACCAGAGACACCTCAGTTCACATTTGAACCCTGCCCTCCAACCTCCCGGCTGTGTGACCTTGGCCTGGTTACCCAACTTCTTTTCGTTTCAGCTGCCTCATCTGTTATTGCCCCATAACAGGGTCCCTGTCTCAGAGCTGTGCTGAGGATTAAAGGGATCGTGCAGCACCAGGCACATAACTGGGGTGGGATTCTTCACAGCTGGTATTTTAATCTGCCTCTCTTAGTGTGTTTCCTCATTGATCAAATGTGGGCCAAGCCAAGGCATATACAAAGCTCAGTACATGTGTATTTCTTCCTTCTTCTGTTTTCAGAAGGGTGAAGAGAACTGTCCTGGTCACACTGTGGGCCAGTGGTACATAATAGGGCTAAATAAATGTGTCACTTTATCCCTCAGAGGTAAAGAGAATTGCCCAGGTCACCCAGTGAGTCAGGAATTTGGTGCTGGTTCTTTTCCCTGTGTTAGAGGAGAGCACTGTATGCAGTTTGATGCCTGTGAGGTAGGCAGCACACAGTAGGTGCTTAATACATGCATGTGCGTGGAGAGAATGAATAACCCTATTAAGCAAGTGACTGTCAGCATGGCCGGCCAGGAAGCTGGGAGAAGACATTAACCTGGAAGCAGAGGTCTGAAGGAAAGCGGGAGCCTCAAAGCCTCCTCATGCCTCTATAGCCAACTGCCAGCTTCAGAGGAGCCCCACAGGGCACTGGTCCCGGGCCCTCCGGTTCTTTACCTTCCCCTTCAGGGTGGGCTTTGGGTCCAGCAGCAGCGTAGTCATTCTCTCCCTGCCCAAGAGAACAGAGTGAGGGGTGGGCTTAGGTGAGGTGAGCTCCAGCCTCAGGGAGGCAGACAACAGGGTTTTCAGAGGGGTCACTGAGAGAGTCTTAGGTGGAACCACGGGTCCCTCACACCCCAGCATGCTTACACCCCAGATGCTTCATGCCCGCTTCCTATCTCCACACCTTTGCCTGTGCTGTGCCCTCTGCCTGGAATGCCTTTTTCTCTGCTGTCCCCCTGACAAACATTCATCCTTCAAACCGGCTTGGGCAGCAACTCCTGGGTGAGGCTTTCCCTGATACCCTCCTCCCCAGTAAAGCTGGCCGCTCTCCCCTCCCATCCACCCGGCTCCTCTGTTTCCATACCAGCACTTGCCACCTGGACTGTATAGCTGTGTCACTGGTAGGGTCCCCTACACCCTGGGAGTGAGCCCCGGGGCAGGCCGGGGGCTGATTTTCCTCCGTGTCTCCCATGTATGCCCACTCTGTACTGCCCACTCTTCATCCCAAGCTTTGCTCTCCCAAGACCAGGAGCCTGGTCAGGGCAACTCTTTCCTGGGGACAGCTCTCACCTGGGGACAGCTCTTACCTGGGGACAGCTCTCACCTGGGGACAGCTCTTACCTGGGGACAGCTGTTACCTGGGGACAGCTCTCACCTGGGGACAGCTCTCACCTGGGGACAGCTCTCACCTGGGGAAGACCTTGTTCATGTCTTCAGCTTCCAGCTCCCTGGCCAGGGCTGTGTGCAGAGAGCTCAGCACGGGTTCCCTGCCTTGTCCCCAGGGCCAATCTGGAGGAGGGACAGGTGGGAGGCCTTGTCCAGGCCACAGCCTCCCTGTGGGCAGTCCCCTGCCACCTGCCTTCCAAGCAGAGGCAAGGAAAGGAGCGCCCCGCTCCAGCCAGGCTATTCCCTCATCTGCCATCTGACAGCAACATTGCGAGGCTGGAATCTTCATCCCCGTTCCACAGATGAAGAGTCAGAAGTTCAGAGAGGGAGAAACAGCCCCAAGTCTCACAGCACATGGGAGGAGTGAAACCCAGAAACTTTTCAGGAAGTGCATTGTCCTCCACATCAGTGATGGAACCGGAGGAGCTCAGGTTCCAGGGGTATGAAGATGCAGGCAGAAACTCCCAGAATTAATGTTTCTGTGGCTAGAAAGTAGGGGTCATTTTCTCATTGATGTTCTTCTGTTCAACTACATAGGTAACCTAGATTGAAAGAATATGCATTTTCCACTAAAATTATAAAGCAAAAGTAATTTTAAATTATTTCACTTAGAAACGTGGCAATGTGAATTTTTACTGTCCCTGAGGTGGTGCCCGAGGTAGGGAAGAGGTGGGAGGTTGGTTGCTTGCCTGAACAACCCCTTCTATGCCCCCAGGGAGTGGGTTTCCCTAGTAGCCTGTCCCACTGCTGAGCAAACCAAGGCCCTGGAATCTTGAGGAACAGGTCCAAGGACCCGGTCCAAGGGAGGAGAGGTGTCTACCTCCAGAAATGAGCTCAGGAGTTCTTGCACCTGCCTCTGATGCCCATAGATTTTCCAACCTGCAATCAGCCTTTTCTTTTGCATTGGAAAATAAAATGATGAATCCACGTGGGGCCAAGTGGGAGGCGCAGACACAGGGGCAGCCCTTGGGAGGCAGGAAGTAACACTCTGAAGAGCTGAGCCCTCGGCCAGGAGAACGGGACTCTCATTAGGGCCCTACCACTGGCTCTGACGGGCTGCTCACTCCCCTTCCCTGTGCCTCAGTTCCTTCATCTAGAAAATAAGGATGTAAACTAGATGAAGGGGGTGTTTTAGTTTAAGGTTACCCAGAATCAGACTGTAAGACAAGATGTGAGGGCAAGTAGATTTAACTGGGAGTGATCCCAGGAAATGCTGGTTGTGGGATGAGGGAAATGAGACAGGGAAGAG